TGTTAAAAAAAAATAAAATGTGAAAGAAGGAAGGCCGCTTTTCTCACTCTTATTTAATACAGCCCAAATTGTTAGCCACAGGTATTAAACAAGAGAAAAGATTAAAAGAGATAGAAATGGCAAAGAAGTCAAACTCTCAATATTTGCAAATTACATGATTTCTTTACATAAGACACAAAACTCTTAGGACAAGAACAGTGAGCAAAGTGGAAAGAAAAGATGGGTAGACAATTAATAGTGTTCCTAAGAAAGATAGCTTCTTTAACAAATGGTGCTGGAAAAACTGTCTTTCTACATGCTGAAAACCCAGTCTACCACCATGCACTAAACTAAAGTCAAAATGGATTAAAGATTGAAATTTAAAAATTTCCAGTCTTAGTTTTTTAAGGAGTCTCCACACTGATTTCCATAATGGTTGCACCTTTCTACATTCCCAGCAGCAGTGGAGAAGGGTTCCTTTTTCCCCACAGCCTGTCCAGTATTTGTTGTTGGTTGATTTCTTTATGATAGCCATTCTTTCTTGGGAGAGATGGTATCTCAATGTTGTTTTAATTTACATTTCTCAAATGGCCAGTGATGTGGAGCATTTTTTTTCACGTATTTATTTGCCTCTTGTATCTCTTCCTCTGAGAAGTGTGTACTCATCTCAATGACCATTTTTGGATTGGGTCTTTAAATTTGGGGCCCTAATGATGATTCTCCCATAGCCCAAGGAGGTCAAGCACACAGACAATTGCTTCAGAGACCTGGTGAGCACTGCCCCATCACACCGCACCCTCCACAGAGCTAGGCTGAGCTGGGGCTACATCTCCCATCAGCATAGAAGTCAGGTGGTCCAAGGAGAGCTATGAGGACCCTCTGAGCTCCACCCCCGCCCTCCCCACACCATCGTTGGGGTTGGGTTGGTCTGTGACCGCTTCTCTCACCATTGGTGTCCACTCCTGCTCTGGTGAGCTGCTGCCGCTTGTGACACCATTAGTAGGAGGCTTGGTCAGGCCTACCCTATGCCCCTCCACCACTATCAAGAAAGCCTTGCAGTTTTGGCTTGCCCTCATCGTCAGTGGATCCTTCTTGAGCTGTAGCTTATCCTTCTCTTCACTGAAGTGGAAGCCACACTCAACCTCATACAGCAGGAGCTTTGGAGAGCCTACCCTGCCTGCCCACTCTCCTGGGAAACTTGCTCCCTGAACTCATCTCCCATCCCATCATTGCTGCAGAATCAGGATGGGCACTGGGGGCTTCAAAAATGTCAAAAGGAGAGCCAGGGATATAGCTCAGTTGCATAAGCACCTGCCTAGCAAGCACAAGGTCCTGAGTTCGATCCCTGGTACTGAAATTAAAAAAACCAGGAAAAAACAGCAATTTCATTGCCAGTCCTATGGATAACCCACTACTAGTACAGACTACTGGAGTATATGGGATTACTTTCTTGAATTCACACATCTACAATATTTAAATGGCATGGAATACCCATCTCTGACAATACTAAACAAAAAAGGGGATACAAATGAAGGACCAGTTTGTATCTGTATATACAA